TCTGCCATCTCCCTATCTTCAAATTTTGCAAGATTATAATGAATCCATTGTCGTCGTCGGTTTCCAGTGCACCACAACAAATTCATGGAGCCGCAACAACAGTAACTTTGCAGAAATGACGTCAAAAGCAAATTGATATTGATCAACACAGTCGCAGTTTTTATGGTGTTGCAATATTTTAGTTCGATTTTCAGCTATCAAAGGCCGTCCATGTCGCTCGACATTACAACGATGGTTTTGAAGACAGTCAACAGCAACAAGTGGCTTGAAGTAGTAAAAAATTTCTTTAATTGATTAAGTTTGGTTTTATTAGTTAAACTAATTTGGTTATATTGATAAATCTATCAAATTAAAATAGTAGGCTGATTGTAAAGAATAGTAAATTGTATGCTTAAGTTCTACTATTTGAATTGTAACATGACTGTACATATCAGTTTGGTGCAGGTCCTTGAATTTCTGGGATTTGAATCCCATCCCACGACTGCGGCACGACGGGTTTGCACGGGTTTGCACTGTGATAAATGTTGCTGCACAAACTTGCTGTAAATGTGTGATGTTAGCTGCTTGTTTCTAATTTCATCTGATTGTGTAGTTTTTCGAACATTTCCTTTGTCAAATTCAAATATGTTTTGGAAAGAAATGAGTTAGGCAATTTTATTCATGATTTGCTTTGTTCTTGCAGGAGTACGAGTTTTCAAATGTGAAGTTGGTTGAAAATCAGAGCTCAACTTGTGGATGATTGAATATCCAGACGCGACGGATCCCTAGATGAAAGTGCTTCTTCTCCACCAACAACTTTCATCGTTTGGACATCTTCTCCTATGGCATTCTTTATAGCACTGGAAAGTGAATTCATGCTCGTTCGAAGCGTCTCAAAACATTCAGTTGTAGGAGCAAACTTCAATAAATTCCAACACTTGTTCCTTAGAATATGTATTACCAGTAACATTACTTCAAACGAAAGTGTGATCTAGTGTGATCTTTGCCTTGTAGAGTAACTCATTCTTGTATTTCGTGTGCTGTTAAATTTTGGATCAACTTTTGTACACCTTGAAACTTTGAACTAATATGAACTTTGCAATCCTTGCATTTTGTATTTGAATTTGTACACCTTAAATCAGATTTGTTTTGGAAATGGTATTGCACCTTGACCCTTTAGGCTTGCATTTTTCTTTGAATGGATCATGATTTAAACTTTGTGAATATGACTTGAACTAAAGCCTTAACATAACGATGATTTAGATTTGAACTTTGAATTTTTTTAGGAATCACCACAAGTGGACTTTCTAATTCTAACATGCTTACCAACTTTGACCCAATCAAATTGAATTATTTGAACTCAACATTGTGAACCAAGCTTTGGTTCCATATAGAATACAAACCAAATCCCATTACTCTGTCACCTTAATCCCAACAATTCTGTAACCTCATCCTTTTGCATCATAACTCGCACCTTTCACATTTGGGCCTTAACAAGAAGGTGCTCACAATCCTAATTCCACAGTTCATGAAAAAACTAGTTGGATTAATCTTGGAAGATTTAATTAGTTGAAAGACCTAGAACCATTTGAATCAAAATCAGCTGGTCATCTCTTGAAGTATTTGTGAGAACGCGTATTCACTTGAATCTAGTGTATTTGGTTGATGGTACACTTAAGGCTTGATTGACTAACCTTTGAGGTCCCTTTGAAGCAAATCCTTAATTCAACCGTGAACAAACAAAAATAATAAAATATAAAGATTTGGTTAGCTATGCAGGTATGATTGACCTAGAAATGTTATGCCAGATGATGCACGAAGAGGTGGGATCTTAGGGTTAAAAAATTAGTGTGTGACAGCAATCAAAGTACTTCAATAAAATATCTTTTCAAATACATCAACAAGGGCTATGATAGGATCTCAGCAGTGATTGTTCCAAATAGCTCTCATACAGATGCGAATATTGACGAAATCAAACAATACATAGATTGTCGATATGTATCACCAAGCGAAGTTTGTTGGAAAATATTCTCTTACTCAATTCATGGTTGAAAACCAGCAGTTGAAAGGTTGTTTTTTTCACATGGAAGGAGAGAATTCAATTTACTACAAAGATTATGAGCAAATTAGAAATATCCTTTTGAAACCAAGTGTAAAAGAATCAGTGTTTACAACATGATTTGTTGCTAATAGTGAAAATGAAGAAGCAAAACAATTAACATGGTCAATTTGTGTCCAAGTTTGTTTATGATGGACGAAAGAGGTGTTGGAGGCCACGGAAAAGAGGTTACACAATTGGTATACTAATTTGGGTCCCGCCAACAGCCGGTGAATTGTATTATTTGAGGATGTTGTTGACTATAAACAAATGACCTACTTGCTATGATGATTTAAAGACAATTGATGGGTTCAAACACAATACCTTTAGAGATGCATGTTTTGCTATGGGTTTTCTGCAAGATGACAAAGAGTATGTTGACGCAATAAAAGAGGCATACAATTGGGGTTCCAGTGTTTTTTTTCCGGAAACTTTGTTACAATGTTGTTATCAACTTCAATGAATCGACCTAACCATGTTTGGCTCAAATTTTAGATATACTTATCGGATGGTATTCTTTATGAACAAATTGTCTCAAACCAGGATATACATTTTTTATACTCTTTATATCCTTGTATGCATTTATAATTAATCTTTGTATGTATTCTTTATGTAGTTTGAGACGCTTTTGAATTTATTATGTGTAGACTTAAATTTGTTTGATGAAGATATTCAACAACTGACAATGATGGAAATTGAGAAGCAACTTCTAAAAATTAGAAGAAGTTTGAAAGAATTAATATATGATGAACAACAATATGATAGTTCTGCTCAGGAACAAATTTATCAAAATCTATTTCAATCCTGAACGGGTATTGATAATTCATTATTCTTAAATTCAATTCATTTAGTTTACCAAATCCAATTCTCATGCTTTACATGAATTGATTTTTAATTTTCTGTGCATAGATCTATTGCATACACATTACTATGCATTATACTAAATTTATTTGAAAATATGTTATTTCTTATTGTAGGATTACAACTTAGCATTTTCAATGAGATCATGCTTGCTGTCACAACACAAAGAGGTGGAGTTTTTTTATATGGTTATGGTGGCACCCGGAAAACATTCACGCGAAACACTCTTTCTGCTGCTCTTCGTTTCAAAGGAGATATTGTATTGAATGTAGCATCAAGCAGAATAGCAAGTTTATTGTTACCTGGAGGGAGAACCGCACATTCGAAGTTTAAACTTCCAGTACCATGTCTAGAATCATCTACATGTAACATTGAGAAAAAAATCAAATTTAGCTAATTTGTTAAAAGTTGCAAAACTCATTATATGGAATGAAGCACCAATGACAAATAAATATTATTTTGAAACTCTTGACAAGACATTGAAAGATATAATGAGTGGTGATAGTGGTGAATGTAATTAAATTTCAAGAGGTAAAGTTGTCATTTTTGGAAGAGATTTCAGATAGATTCTATCTGTTGTACCAAGAGGAACCATATATGGTATTGTTCATTCTACAGTTAATGCATTATATATTTGGGACCATTGCAAAGTCCTAACTCTAACCAAAAACATGAGATTACAAAGTGGTTCAAATATAAGAAATACGACTATTCTCGAAATAGATTTTACAAGTTGGTGATAGGAAGATATTCGACTTCAATAATAGATATGCTGAGATACTTATTTCAGAAGAGTTACTTATTAGAGATTATGACAACTTACTTGAAGCTATTATTAAAAGTACTTATCCAAATCTCAAATTTAAAATTTTTTCAATGTAGAACTATTCTTGCATCAACTATTGAAATAGTTGATTATATTAACGATTACATAATAACAAATTATTTCTAGAGTTAATGTTCAAACTACAAATATTATCTTCAAAATTTTTTTCCATAACATCGTATAAATATCTATGTCGGGTTTTCTACTAATTTTAATATATGCGTGTGTGTCAAAAAGTCAAATGGTTTGGTTGAAAAGTGTGCATTTTCTAATCTAAAGGTACAGATTTCGAAACCCTTCTCACACCTTTTTGGAAAGATTTTTGAAAGGCATTGTCGCCGACTCTTTATCATAAGTGAGAACAACGATCCCCCAAAAAGTCTTAGTAACAAATTTTACTTTTTAACCGTTTGTTACAAACCTAAAAAAGGGGAAATGTAAAGATATAGAGCTCACGAAGGAAGAAAAGCGCGCGCGAGAAGTATACGGTGGTGAACATCGGAGTTTGGTGGTGGTGCAGTGTTAGTCTGTACGTGTAGGTTGCAGTGAACAATTTTCATAGTAAAATAAACCATTATTACTTCTATCAATGTCATTAACAGTAATTTAGACACTTATTGTTTTAGAAAATGAATTGCTTATTACTATGACTATGACGTTTATCTGTTTGTTATAATTCCTAGCTGAGGTATACAACTGTAGTAGATGCAGAATAGTCTAAAGCTTGACTTATATATGCATTTTATTAGTCATTATTATCTTTCTTAGTCTCTGAAATTAATGAAATTTTAAGACGTTTATCTGTTTGTTATAATTCCTGGCTGGGGCATACATATATAGTACACCTAGAATAAGTCTAACGCTTGACTTGTATATGCATTTTCTGACTCTTCTCCTCAATCTTTTCTATGTCACTTTCCTCTTTTAAATTTGTGTCTGGCAATCATCCATGTGAACCATACATACACTTGACTTTAATTTCTTTTGTTTATGGGGAGTTAATAAGTTGACTGATTCATCAATGTACAAGTTCTCAATCACATTAGTTTTACATAGATAGGTTAAGGGATTAGATTAACCCTTTTAATATGATTGAAGGTTTTTGTATTTTGCGGGCATACTAATACTTTAAAGGAATAAATTACTAGCCTTTTAATTTCCAAATACACTGAATATATATTCAGACTCCCAACCTCTAAATTATTGATATATTGAGCTTTCCTTGTTAATATTAAGATGAACACTTCCTCTCAGTGTCTCTTCTTTTCACTCATTGCCATTTCGCTCATATCTCTATCAGCTTTTGCTGCTACTACTATCCACCCCGACGAAAGTATGATATCTATTTCTACCATAGCTCCCATTTCTATTTCTTTTCCAGATTTTCTTTATCTAAGGATTCGAGTTTTTTTTTCTCTCAGAATTTCTATAGAAATTGTCTATATATATTTGATGACATGTGTTTGAAGATTAGAAAACTTTCAGTCCTTAGCTGATAGCTTCTGAATTGTGTATTTAGAGAAAGCTCTTCAAGATATAGCTAACTCACTTGGTAAGAAGGGTTGGAATTTTGACACAGATCCATGCAGCAACAAACTTAACTGGGTTACAAATTTAGAGAACAGTGTCACCTGTAGCTGCTCTGTAGCTGGTGACGACTTCTGCCATGTTGTTACAATGTAAGCTTATTTTCCATAGAAGCACCCTCTGCTATCAGTAGTCCTAATAACTTGGTTTGATTTTTTATTTTACATGTCTTTGCTGTCAAATATATGTATTTTGTGCTAAAATTATGTTTGAAAATGGTAAAACAAGTCTTAAAACTCTCTGCAGTAGAAGAGCTTGTTGCAATTTTCCCTTTAAATCTATCGGCTAGAAAATATATTAGAACTAATTTATTTAAAAAACTTTTTTATGGTAATATAAACATACAGAGTTTTGAACAAGCAAAATCTTCCCGGCACTCTCCCACGAGAACTGAACAGGTTGCATTACCTTCAAATCATGTATGTAATTCCCAAACTTTTTCCTAATATCCAGATAAAAAATATTATTGAACTTGTTTTATATCCTAAATCACATTTATCTATATATTATTTTGCATGACAAACTCTTCCTCTCCCACCATTTATCTTCTATTAAAGTGACCTCTCTCGCAATTACTTGAACGGTACAATTCCTAAAGAATGGGGCTCCATGATGAATCTTCTGAACATGTATGTTGTCTCTTATTTTTCTTTTCTGGTTTTTAATCATTGCTTGTTCTTTAGAGGTATATATTCTAAGATCTGGACATATGGGTCTTATAGTATATTCTTTTTAAAACTTTGCATTCATTTTCTTGTATACTTGTAGTAATTACATGCAAAAATAAGCTAACGACCACATATTACTTAATCATCATAGTACTCTCTCCGGAAATCGATTAACCGGTTCAATACCAAAGGAGATTGCTAATATATCTACTCTGATACAATTGTGAGTTACTTGTTATTCTACTTGGCAAAAAATAATTCCATTTCATAAGTACATAAACATGTATGCGTTCAATTCATAAATTTTTAGTAGAACTTAACTTTAACTTGAGTCTTGAAATGGACAGGGACTTGACAGGCAATCAAATGTCTGGAAATATTCCTCCTGAGCTTGGGAGTCTAACCCATATTCGAACACTGTAAGTATCTTTTCCCCCTTAATTGATGTACTCAGTTCAAATGCAAAAACCCAAAGTTCATAGTCCACTTTTGATTTCCATAGCTTAGAATCATAATTTACTGTCTTGTTTTTCAATTATATATAGGCAACTTTCGTCTAACAATTTTACTAGAGAACTACCCGTAACATTGGCCAGGCTCTCTGCACTGCAAGATTTGTAAGACACAAGTTTTTTCAGTGATGTTTACTAATGACTATATTAAAAAAACTTATGATGCTTCAAATTCCACACCCTCTTTCAATGCAGCCGAATTTCGGACAACCAGTTGTCCGGAAAGATACCTGATTTTATTCAAAATTGGACAAATATCAATACACTGTATGCTCTTTCCTTTTTAATATTTTTTCCTCAATTTGTTTTTGTATTGCTTGACTTTTAAACAATGGTTACTTTACTTTGACAGAATCGTTCAAGGGAGTGGATTAAGTGGGCCGATTCCTTTTGAAATATCACTTTTGAGAAACATAATTGAATTGTAAGTATGATATTTTTTATCATGATAAAGCTAGGGTTGAAGTTTAACTTTCATTTTAATTATGTTTATTTTGCTGTGATTCAAATGTGATATTCAGGAGAGTTAGTGATTTGAATGGATCCGATTATGCACCTTTGCCACAACTTAGCAATATGAAATCGTTAAGCAGACTGTGAGTTGATTCCTTGCTGTTTTCAGAAATTGAAAGAAGAGGCTTAAATACTTTTTTTTTTTCCTTTACTTATTGAAAAATTCTCAGTCCACTTTCCCTTAAGTACTCCAAAATTTCTAATTTTGATCCTTATCAAAGGATATTTTCAGTAATTTAAGTAAATACACTGCAAAACTCTTTTAGAAGGATCTCTCGAAAGTTCATTTTTTATGTTCTAAAATAAATATGCTATCTAGAGTGGTTTATTTAGGGAGTTTTTTCAAAACTCTCACAAAGTTCTATGTGAAGGATCCTTTCAAAAAAGATCAAATTTAGAAATTTGAGGGTATATTGGACAATTGAGTCCACTTCGATATCACACCTATTTGAGTCAGAAAGCGATCCCTCAGAAAGTCCTTATAAACGGACTGCTCCTCTATGTGCTCCGAGACCCTCTCCTTGCTCGAGGGAAGATGTGCGGTTCTCTGCTTCAGCCGCGGGCTTAACACCGGAATTCCAAGCAAAGACGTTAGAGGATACTGCATCTCGTAACGGTTTTAAATTATTTGGAGGTAGATTGAGAATATTGCTTAAATATTTATTAGGTGCTAGGTTGTCCTTTAACTAAATTTTGATTCAAATTGGTTCTCCTACAAACTGGACCAAGTTGGTCTTTTCTGTTAAAATGACACTAACCTCGTTAATTTTATTTGATACGGGAAACATGTGGCAAATGAGTCACCAAAGATATTGTTGATATTTGTATATATATAGTGTTAAGAATATTTGTATATAGAATAGTCTCACATCGACTATATCATATAATTAATTGTAATCTATCTATATATAATAATATCTCCGTAGTGCTTTTCAAAACACACGGTTTATTCAAATGTCTCTTAGTCTCTTGTATTTTAACAAAGGTATCTAGAGCCTGCTAAGAGGCAATTCTTTCTTCGCCGCGCTTTACCTGGTTGATCCACTGTCTTCCGGTGAGAATTTTTAAGATTTTTTTTTTTTTTTGCAAACCGTGTTGTCACTCCGGTTTACCTATTTACATTGTGAGTCGTGCCAGTTAGGGAAACACACTCGTAGTCAATCACCTAATTCCTCCTCGAGTCTTTGGGTCTACGTGTTTTGTACACAATCTCTCCCCTGGTCTTGATATGGCTATCTTCGAGTCTGTTCCATATTTCGAGTCCAGACAAGTAACTACGGAACCTCTACAGGAAAGTATTCTCACACCTCTTCCGAAAGTCCCATCTGTCATTATCCCCCATCATTGGTCACTTCACTCCTCGCCCACTTCAAACATATCAGCGTCGTCACCCAACGTCTGTCGTATCTGTCCTTGAAGTCATAGTTGTCCCTGAAGTCGTATCTGTCCCTCACCTGTTCCTGAGGTCACTACGGACTCTCCTCCGACGCTCTCGCCATCACCGCATCTGATTCTGCAACCTGAGTCTGATCTTCCGATTGCCCTTCGAAAAGGTATACGTCAAACACGAAATCCTTCTCCACATTATATTGATTTATGTTATCATCGTCTTTCCCCTTTACATTATACTTGTTTCTCTTCTGTCTTTTGTTTTTATTCCTAAAACTCCAGGTGAAGCATTATCTCAACCCTGAGTGGAGGCAAGCAATGATTGATGAAAGTGTGCTTTTCATAGCAGTGGTACCTGAGAATTGGTTTCTCTACCCCAGGGGAAATCTTTAGTAGTTTGTCGTTGGCTTTATATAGTGAAGGTTGGTCCAGATGGTAAGATTGATCGATTTAAAACTCACTTGGTAGCCAAAGGATACACTCAGATTTTGGGTTGGATTATAGTGATACCTTTTCACCTGTAGGCAAGATGACATCTATTAGACTTCTTCTAGTCATTGCAGCCATTCGACATTGTTCACTTCATCAACTTGAGATCAAAAATGCATTCTTACATGGTGATCTTGAAGAAGAAGTATATATGGAGCAACCACATGGGTTTGTTGCTCAGGGGGTGTCATCGAATATGCTTCTTAGGCTACACAGGTCTCTTTATGGTCTTAAGCAATCTCCGAGAGCTTGGTTTGTCAGATTCAGCACTGTAGTATAAAAATTTGGTATGATCCATAGTGAAGCTGACCATTCTGTTTTTTATCGTCACTCACCCCAAGGGTGAATTTATCTTATTGTGTATGCAGATGACATTGTCATAACTGGTAGTGATCAGCAGGGAATACTCCAGTTGAAACAACATCTCTCGAAACAATTTCAGACAAGATTTTGGTAAACTCCGCTTTTTCTTAGGTATTGAAGTAGCCCAATCTAAAGATGGTTTGGTGATTTCTCAGCGGAAATATGCTATGGATATTTTGAAAGAAACAGGTTTGTTAAATGCTAAACCAGCTGATACTCCTATGGATCTAAGTGTTAAACTACTATACAATCAGGGGAGCCTCTATCTGACTCAGGAAGGTATAGGAGATTGGTTGAAAAGTTGAATTATCTCACAGTCACTCGTCCGAACATTTCTTTTGCAGTCAGTGTGGTAAGTCCATTCTTAAATTCCCCTTGTTAGGAACACATGGATGTTGTTATCCGGATTCTGAGATACATCAAATGTGCTCCATGAAAAGGTCTTGTGTATGAGGATAAAAAACATAACCAGATAATTGGATACTCCGATGCTGATTGGGCAGGGTCACCCATTGATAGACGATCCACCTCTGGGTATTGTGTACTTGTTGGAGGAAACCTTATATCCTGCAAAAGTAAGAAACAAAATTTAGTTGCAAGATCTAGCGCCGAGGCAGAGTATAGGGCCATGACAATGGCAACATGTGAACTTATTTGGTTAAAACAATTGCTCAAAGAACTTCAAATTGAAGAAGTAAGATCAATTATACTTATTTGTGATAATCAAGCTGCATTGCACATTGCTTCAAATCCAGTCTTTTATGAGAGGATCAAACATATTGAGATAGATTGTCACTTTGTCAGAGAGAAGATCGAGTCAGGCGACATCGTCAAAAGTTGTCAACTCTAATGATCAATTGGCAAATGTGTTTACAAAATCTCTACGAAGTTCCAGAACTAACTATATATGTAACAAGCTTGGTGCATTTGACTTATATGCTCAAGCTTGAGGAGGAATGTTGATATTTGTAAATATATAGTGTACAAATATTTGTATATAGAATAGTTCCACATTGACTATATCATGTAATTAGTAGTAATCTATCTATATATAATAATGTTTCCGTAGTGCTTTTCAAAGCACACGCTTTCCAAAATGATTCAAAAATATCAAAAAAAAAATTCAAATTTTTTTGAATATACACAAGTTGGTGCTGGAATGATGCAAATTCAATAAATTTATGTTAAAGTTTAGGGTTTTAACCACAAACCCATTATCACCAATTCAATATAGATTTTTCTTTATGTTAGAAAAAAGGGAGTCTAGATTTGGCAATAGGCCTGTTGATTTTGAAAGAAAGTGGGTTAGATTTCGCAATGGGGTACGTTCTTTTTTTTACTGAGATTTATTTTGAAAGTGATCAAATAGGTGGCAATAAGTGTGGTGATATTTGTTGATTTTATTTCATCATCATCATTGTTGTGAAATTTAAGAAATGGGTGTTGTGATTTTTGTTAGTTTTGTTTTATGAATTTGTCAATCTGTGTTTATTATGTTTTTATATCTTACTCATCTTGTAAAATCGGTTTGTAAAGTAGAGGAGTCTCTTTTTATAAACTCTTGTGAAGCCTTATTTTTAATTTGTGAGATTTAGGTTTGTCCCAATAAATTCCATGTCAATATTATTTATTGGACTTGATTGTGAATCTAAATTATGAGCGACCTGAATCGATAAACTCTCATATTATATTATATTTTTATATTAGATCTAACTCATCTTTATAAGGGTGTCTCTTTTTATAAACTCTTGTCAAAACTTATCTTTAATTACGCGAGACTTGGATGGCAACAAAGCCAATTGATTTAGCTCATTCGTCATTCATATCTACTCGTGAAGTTTAATAGTGTTGTAAGGAGGTGTATTGTAAAAATCAAACCTCACATAAATTAAAGATAGAGTTTGAATAGAATTCATTAAAAGTGGCGCCCCCTCATCTTTTAAGTTGATTTTATAAGAATAAATATTTATAATATAAAAATCAAATAGTGTTGTTTTGAAATGAAAGTGATATCTTTTTTAATGCAAAGACAGGAAGCAACAATGGTGGTTGTTAGGATGGTTTGAGAGAAAGAAAATGGCCTTTTAACTTTTTAGAAAAAAAAAGTGTCGACTTATATAGCATGTTAGATTCACATGTAGGTGGTATGGCAATGCTAGAAAACAGAGGCAAGGAAAAAGACCAATTCAATCTAATATAGAGTTAAAAGACCAAATAGTATCCTATAAATAAGTTAAGGGATGAAAAAGGTATTAAGACGGTTGATATTTGTAAATATATATAATGTTAAGAATATTTGTATATAGAATATACATCGACTATATCATGTAATTAGTTATAATCTCTCTCTCTATATAATAATGTCTCTATAGTGTTTTTAAAAATACACGGTTTAATTTAAATATTTCCTAGTCTTACTTATTTCAACGTGGTATCTAGAGTCTGTTAAGAGACAAATTTTTTTCCGCCGTACTTTATCCGGTTGACCCACTGTCTTTCAGTGAGATTTATGTTTTGCAAACAGAGTTATCACTCTGATTTACCCATCACTTTTCAAAATTCTCTGGTAACCATCCGACTCGCCGCCCTCCGATCCAGCCGTCGCCCTTTGTCCGCTGCTGCCCCGTGCTTGCCAGCGTGTCCAGCGGCTGATTTTGGCCGTTTTTCTGCCGGTCTACTCGCCTCTCCCCACCCGTTCCACATTCGGCCTCCGTTTTACTTTCCAACTCACGGAAAACAGCGCTTTAGTGCAAACAACCTCGATTTCACTCAATTATTTTGTTGTCCAAGCTATGGGAGACACTGATTCTGGTTTGAGTGATTCGTTTACCAAAGTTCTGCT